ACAACCGCTTTTCTTTCCATCAGAAGCAGGTTCTGCAGGCTTCACCTCCCCTAATGGCGCCTCTGGTCTGTTTTCTCTACAGGAAAAACCCGACAATAAATCTGATCAGACGCTGCAGCTCTATAAGAAGGCCTGTGAAGGTGAGATGTCCCTCTGGTTCTCCTGCATGTTCTGGGCTATTTTTCTGTCTGTTTTTCCATCTGCTTCTGGAGGTTTTTAGCCTTCGTTGATCCTAAATGTCACAACCCTTTAAACCCAGAGGGTCTCAGGGAAACTCCCAAACTCTAAATTGGAAATAATATTTTTTGTATTTGTCTGACAGAAAAGGCAGTGAGGAATATTTTTCAGGTGGAAACTATTTCAAATGTCACCATGTCTGATTTATAGGTGATTAAGCAAAGAAAGAAAGATATTTAGCAAAACACCATGAAACCCAATTTAAAAACTCTGGATGAACCATCAGATTTTATAGATCCAGATTTTAACCATAAATCGAGCTAATTTGGACTGAATAGGTTGAAGCTGTTTGTTCCAGAAAAGTGTTAGTGGGCAGTGCACTAGGAGCAAATATGCTTTAGGCAAAATGCCAAAAGTGCAAAAATGCATTTTTCCACTAATAAAAGTAAATTTGCTCAGACAAATATGCTGATTTACATTATTAGCCTTTGCTCCTAAGATTCAGTCGTTGTTTCATTGAAATTTACCAATAATATCACCGAACTGGATAGAAATTAAGAATAAGAGAGAAAGTTAAGTAACACAGCTGATTACATTACCTGAAATGGTCGTGCAATTACCTCTGACCCCTCCTTGGAAACGTCTGAGCCTCTAGTTTTCCAATGATGCCACCATTAGGTGGTGTGACAGCGGCCATGGCCGACGTCGGCCCGTCTGCGGCTGCCATGGCCGACGTCGGCCCGTCTGCGGCGGCCATGGCCGACGTCGGCCCTCTCTCTGCATAGCCGTGTGTGAAGGACCGCTGGCTCTGATCTGATCTGAGCTTTTATTTCTTTATTTGGTAAAGCGTTTATTTGATTTGTTTATCTGACTGTGTTCATCATTATTCCCCCACTAACTGACAGAAGTCACAATTTATTATCTAGAGACTATTAACAGGAGGTGAAATGCAGCTCCAGATGAGCCGAGCGTGTGGTGATGTCATCACTACGCCTCTGTTCCAGTTGACCCATATTTGTGCTGCGGGCTGCCGTTCTCCCAGAGTCCAGACTTTCCTGTGTTCTTCTCAAGAACACGAGTCTGTACTGGGAAACAGCCAGATACTCGTTTAGTTTAAAATGTATTTATTTTATTACACTGACTATTTTATTTCTTGGTTTTATTTTTAATGAAAGCGTTTGTGGCTGTAGCGTGATGGAAGTCAATCAAATCCTGAAAACGAGGGGTGTTGGATCCCTCCCTCACTGAAGTTTTTGTGGTTTGTTGATCCGTAGAGCTGGAAGCCAAGCAGAGAGTTATAGAGGACATGCGTCTGACTTTGACTGAGCAGGAGAAGACGGAGGAGCAGATGGAGGAGGTCCTCGAAGGGAAGATGGATCTCATCCAGGAGCTCTCTGCTGGTGAGACGCCGACATCTGATCCACCAAAGACACGGCGCTAAAACTAGAAGGAAATCATCAGAGCTGCATGGATGCAGCAGTGGAAAATGGATGAAACCACCAACATATATGATTCTGATATCGATATAAACAATATGAAAGACAGAAAACCCACAACAGAAACAAATGAAAACATTATTATACCGTCTCCATGAAACTCCTCTGATAAAACATTAGATTTTCTGTTTAAACAGCTACAAGCTCAGCAGATGAAACATTTAACCAGGAGATTCTCTCCCTTCTCGTGTTCCTCCGTTCATCATTTTTCCAGCCTTCCAGTGTCGTTCTCATCGCTTCTTCTTTTCCTGTGATTCACTAAAAAGATGCTGAACGATGATGTTCACAAATCAATA